TGTGGTTTGTGTGGGGAGAGGCTTCTGGAAGCCAGTGGTGGCAGTTGGGCTCTGAGGGTTTTTCCTGAGGAGCTGTTTTGTTTGGCGTTTGTAGTTTTAAAAATAAAGTTTGTTTCTTTTGACAAGTGGCTCCTGAATTGTGCCCAGTCAGACTGTGGCAGCTATTAAAAAAGTAGCATGAGAGATTCTTCTGGTCTTGACTATAGAAACAATTACAAAGTTCACGCATATGATAAAATAGACTAAAATATATAGTATTATATATTGGCATCACTTTCGGAGCTTTAAAAAAATATGTGTGCCTGGACTACATCTCCATAATTCTGATTAAGTCGGTGATGAAACCTGATGCACCCCAGCTGTACCCCTAGTTGATAACTACTGCTTAAAGAAGGGGAATAATATATGCCTATTGATGTTAACAATGTGTGAGATTGTAGGATCACAGGTAATTTTAATTTCTTATTTTGCTATAATAAATATGCATTTTGTGCAATAACAATAGAAAAGGCCTCTTTAAATTTCAAAGTCCAATGGCAATTCACTAGAAATTTCTAACTTGGTAATGATCAGAAACTTTGGGGTTCTATTTTATGTACTTAAGATCTACTCAATTTCTACTCTTAAACTAATTTACTAGTAATGTCCATAAGAGGAGAGACATTTCCATGCTTTGTTGATGTCGAAATATACTGTATCTACCACATTTTCCTTGTTTGCCACACCAAAGCAAGCCCAAATCACTTTTCTGGCACTTAATCAAGCTTAGAAAACTCTACTACTTTTTATTCTCAATTATATAGTAAAACTGTGCTCAGCATACACAGACTATGCCTTATATTTCCTTGCAAATTCTATAGCAATTCATTCCATACATTTGACAAATATTTATCGACTCCCTACTATGTGCCAGGTAGTATTCTGGGCTCTCCTTCCTTAGTATAAAATAATAAAGTATCCATAGTGGAATTTCCTCAATCCCTCAACAGACATCTGCCTATCATGTCTGTTGCCATATTGTCCTCCCTATCACCCATTCCACTCAAACTTGGAAGACTTTGTCAATGACCCTAAATTCAAATCACTAGATACACTTTTATAAGACTTTGAGAATGATAGAACCAACATATCATCACTGTCTCTTCTAGAAAGTCTCTCCTTACAATAGGTTCCCACAGTATTTTATTTATAACATACTTAGAGTACTTAGTATATTCTACTTTGTATTATACTTATGTGTCTGCATATTTTATCTTGCCCCCTAAATCATAAGCTCCTTTAGAGCAGGAATTATAATTTCTTCAGCTCTGGGGATCCAGTAAAATTTTACCATGTTTTGGCTGGTACTGTGGTATGAATAACCAAAGAAAGAGACAGAAGCTCCTTAAAGCAGCAGTTTTCAGGCTTACCTGTACCTCCACCAACCAGTCGACAAGAATGGCCCTCATATCACTGTTGATGTCAGTCTGTTTGTCCATGTATTTATTAAGTATGAAGTTTTCCTAGTATCAATGAGAAAGAAATGTTATAAACTCTCATTTTAGTTCCAAATTATAACTCAATTAACTTCTCTCTCATCAGTTCTAACTCATTATTTTCGACTGGTATCAGATAGGGGCAGCTCAAAATAATTTTTTTCCAGACAAGTTCCAGTTATGCTTGGAAAATGGACACTTATTAAAGTGTTAGAAAAAGTATTGAGGAATCCAGGATGAATAAGGACTATTATTCCACCTGTGGCTATAGATGAATGCCAAAAAGAGTCTATCCTCTTTTGCAAGCCACTCTAAATCATAACACCATGCTATGTAGAACAGTATGTCTCAAAATTTTATATATGCACTACTTGGGGATCTGGGAGAACTTCAGATTCTGATTTAGAAGGTCTAGGGTGGGGCTAAGTTTCTGCATTTAAAACAAGATTCCAAGTGAAACTGATACTTCTGAGCCAAGGTTCACATGTTTAGAAAAGCAAAATTGTCTCTTACTTTCCCTAAGGTATAGATAGTTCCTGACTAACAGTGGTTAACTTAATAAATTTCAACTTGATGTTGGTCACCAGGGGAAATAATCTATACTCCATAGAGATCTGTATGTCTCAGCTAGGATGCTTCAACTCATGATGGGGTTTATCTGGATATAACCCCCCTCAAGATTCAAGGAGTATGAGATATATTAGAAAAAGAATGGACTCTGAAGTCAGATAATCAATTGTTCTCTACCTATAGAGAAGATAAGATATTCACCTACTAAAAATTCTAGGTGGTTAATAATCTTGATCTTATCTAGTCCCTTGTGAGAGACAGAAGAAATTTGGAATTGATAAATATTAGTAGTAAAGGAGACTAGCAGATTTCAAAAGAAAAAGAAAACTGCACCAGATTAGAGAGCTACAAAAAGCTGTGATCTAAACAAACAAACAAAAAAGTTGTATTCTTAAATTCAATGCCAGAAACATGCACAGAAAAAGGAGATTTCTAAAAGCAACTATCCAGAAATAAAACTATTTGATCAATTTTGTGTCAGAATATCTCCTTCATACCTAGAACAGCATGATTATGGTCTTCAAGGTAATCAGACTTTAGTCCCTGTCCCAGCTCTACCACAGGATAATAGTAAGACTCTGGCAGTTTCCTCTAAATGTAAAAGGGAGATAGTAATACCAATTATCATGAAATTAATGGGAGAATTAAATAAGATAATGTCTATAAATCTCTAAACACAGTTTCCAACTCATAGTAAGCTACCAATAGATACTAGTTGCTATTATTGTTGTTTTCATCATTATTATTCCCTTCCCTGTCAACTTGTAGGCTGAAGGAGGAAATGAGGACTAGAAATCATTGCCCACCCCCAGATACCTACATACCTCTCTATTTTTCAAGTAACTGAAGATATCCTTGGCATATATTGAATTGAAACATGGATCGCTGTGGTCCTTGTCAATATCTTCTGGTATGGTCATCTATTTAGAAATCACCAAAAGGATATATTGGAAGAAGAAGAGAAAGTCCAAGAAAATCTTAGCTCATACACATCAAGGATGACTCCTTTCTCCCCACTGACTTTTTATGCTAAGTTCCTCAAGCCTCATGTATCCTGGGCTATAACAGAGAACCTCTTGGCCCTCTAATACTCATACTGTCCAGTGATCCAGAAATGCCTAATATACGAATATCATGTCCTAGGAACAAGGTATCCTTTTTACAAGAATACTCAATTCTCTAATAAAGGCATCTTATTTTATTATTTTAGCTATATCACCTGCCTTCTTAAGTTCCTTTTATGGCCAATTATTCTTAGTAGCCTTTTCCTTCCTTCTACATATTTTCCCAGAATGTTTTGCCCATATGAGGGTTATTTCTCCTACTGGATGCTAAATCTCATCACTTCATTCTTCTAATTTACAACATAGAGACCACCTTCCTTGGGATATGTCCCTGTGAATTCTGCTCATATTTGACTAAAGTCCACTGTAATGCTGATTAAAATTACTAAGAAAGGTAATTTCCTGAATGAAATTGGCTAAACACTATTGCAAAGTCCAAATATATAGGACAATATTCCAGATGCTTTTGTATTTAAATACTTTCTGATTGCCTAGGTCTATCACTATGACAATCAGAAAGTCAAGATATTCTACAAGGGCTGTGGTGGCACATGCCTGTAATCCCAGTAGCTTGGAGACTGAGGCAGGAGAATTATGAGTTCAAATCCAGCCTCAACAATTTAGTGAGGTCCTGAGCAACTTGTTGAGACCCTGTCTTAAATTTAATATTATATATATATATAAAAGGCTGGGAATATGGCTCAATTGTTAAGTGCCCCTGTGTTCAATCCCTGGTACAAAACAAAATATTCTAGCTACAAGGCCAGCAACAAAAGAAAAATGTCAAAGAACCTAGTAACTTCAAGCTATGAAAAATAAGGTGATTCTGCATCACCTATCATTAAATAAAACTAGAAGTAAACTCCCCAAATATCCCCCTCTCCCGAAGTAGAAGGTGTTCCTATAAATTACTACATACAGTTCAATTCCTTAGGAAAGCAAATAAGAAGAAACCTCTTTGGGGCTATGGGTATAGCTCCTTGCAGAACACATTCTTTGCATATGCAAGGTTCTGTTTCAATCTCCCCAGCAGCAAATTCAACAAAAATCTCTTTTCTAGGAGCTACAAAAATACAGAGAACACATCATCGAATTTAAGAAGAAAGATAAATACCTCCTTTTCTATGCTCTCACTCTGAGATGAAAAAGGTCCTTTGGAATCAGGTTCACATTCACTGGACTGGCTGGTGGTACTGTACTGTGCATTGCACATGTTGGCAGCACTGGATTTGTCTGTACTGGTTTCAAGGGTAGTGCTGGATACACGTGGGTCGTTCTTAATATCAAAGGTCAAGAATGTTTTGGAAAAAGTGTCTTCCTTGTGAGTAGGATTTTCCTCCAAAGCCAAAGGATCTTTAAAGGAGAACTCCTTCCCAGTGATGGGTTTCTCGTCCAAGTCTAATATCTCCTTGAAAAGGAATATCTCCTTTGTGGTAGTTTTCTCCTTCATGGCTAATGGCTCCTTCTCCACATTGGACTTCTCCTGAATGACTAATGGCTCTTCAGGTATGGTCACCTTCTGAATGTTGAACTTCTCCTGCAAGGCCCAGAGCTCTTTCAGGGTAGCCTCCATCTCAGCACTGGGATTCTCCTGCGAGGCCAATGGTTCCATGAAGAGGCCTCCCCCACCAACTGTGGGTTTCTGTTGCTCCTCGATGCTGGGTTTCTCGTGGAAAGCCAAATCTTCCTTGAAGTGAGCTCCTGTGTCCATGGTATACTGCTTCTTAATGGTGGAATTCCTCTGCAAGATCAATGGCTTCTTGAGTACAGTCTCCTTCTCAATGCTGGGATTCTCCTGTATGACCAAGGGCTCCTCCAAGAGGATCTCTTTCTCTATGTTCAGAAACTCCTGCAAGATCATTGGCTGATTAATAACGAACTTCTCATCACTAGTAATGTTCTCATGCAAAGCCAACTGCCCCTGAGCATCAAGCTTCATTAAAGATAATTGCCCCTCTATGCTTGGTGCTTCCTCAGTGGAGGGCTCTTTCTCCAAATTGGAGAGCTTACTGAAAAGGGACGTCTCTTCACTGATGCTTTTTTCCTGCAAAGCCAACAGCTTCTCTGGGGAGTCTTCTTTGGTACTAGTCTTCTCTTGCAAGACCAAAGCTTTCTGAAAAAGGGACTCATCTTCATTGGTAGGCTTAAAATGCAAAGAATGTGGCTCCTGAAAGAGGAATTTCTTCTCAGTGATAAGCTTCTCCTTCAAAGTTGCTGGATCCTTACTATCTGATTTTTCTTCAGTGGTGATCTCCTGAAAGAATGATGGTTGCTTTAAGAGGGACACCTCCTGCTGGTTGGTATGCTTCTTTTTCAGTGAAGATGGTTCCTGGGAGAATTTCTCTTCAGTTGTAGGCTTCTTCTTTAAAGGAAATAGCTTCTTATAGAGTGATGACTTTTCAGATGTGGTCTTCTGCAAGACCAATGGATTCTTTACCAGGAACACCTTCCCATAAGTGATTTCCTTCTTTTTTAAAGACAATGGTATCTTAGAAAGGACTGTCTCTTCAGTTGTAGGCTTCTTCCTAAGTGACACTGGCTTCACATAGATGGAATTATTTTCTTTATCAATTATATCCTGCCAGTCTGACAGTTCTTTCCAGAAGGGCATTGAGTAAGTAGTACCCTTTTTTTTCTCTAAAGACACATTTTCTTCTTTAAAGGACAATGGCTCCTTAACCAGAGACTTCTCTTCAGAAGTAACCATTTGCAATACTAGCGGCTTCTTCATGTGGGACACTGTCCCTTGAGTGGTGGGCTGCTGCTTCTTTAAAGACAAAGGATTTTTGGAAAGGGTGGCTTTCTCAATGGTATGTTCCTTTGGAAAACCCACAGCTTCCTCAAGAAGTGGTTCCTCCTTAGTGGGAGACTTTTGGGGAGTCAACGGCTCCTTAGTGAGTGATTTCCTCCCCAAGGTTACTGTCTGAGGCTTCAAGCAGGAGATCACCCCCTGAGTATTAAACTTCTTATTCAAAGGTGATGGCTTCTTTGTGTATATTGTCTGCTTAATAATATGCTTCTTCTTATAAGAAACTAGCTCCACAAAAGATTTATCTTCATGATTCCTATTCTCCTGCAATGCCCGTGGCTTCTTCAAGAATCCCACCACCTCTTGAGTCATGTGCTTCTCCTGCAACATAGATGACTCCCAGGAGAGAGACTCCTGTTCAGTGGTAGGCATCTTTCTAAAGGGTGATGGCTTTGTGATGAGTGACTTCTCTCCAGAGGTGACCTTCTGCAGTACTAATGGTTTCTTCAAATATGATATCTTCCCTTGAGTAATGCATTTCCTGTTTGAAAAAGTCTCCTCAGTGGTAGGCTTCTCCTTAAAAGCTGATGACTCCTTGAAGAAGGACTCTTCTTCCAAGTCTATCTTCTCCCACAAGGTCAATGATGTCTTCGAGATGGACACCTCTCGTTCAGTGGCAAGCTTTTCTTGCAGTGCAGATGGCTTCCAAAAAACGGACACCTTCTCAGAAGCAGACTTTCTCTTAAAGGACAGTGGTTCCTTAGAGAGTGACTTCTCTTCAGAGGTGACCTTCTGCAAAACTAGTGGCTTCATCACATTGGAGATCCTCCCCTTTGTGGCACGCTGCTGCTTCTTTAGGGTTAATTGCTTCTTAGTGGGAGATGACTTCTCAGTTTTAGGTTTCTTCCAAAAACTTATTGGCTCCATATCAAAAACTTTGTCATCATCATTGTTGTCCTGGGAAGTCCACAACTCCTCCCAACAATACTTCTTCCCCTGATGTGTGCATGTCTTCTTCTTTAAGGATAATGTCTTCTCACTGATGACAGTCTCTTCAACTTTATGCTTCTTCCCCAAAGTCACTGTCTCTATAACAAATTCATCATCACTGTCAGTCTGCTCCTGCAAGGATAGTGACTGCTTTAATAGAGACATGTCCTCATGATTTCTGCACTTCTTCAATGACATCTTTTTGATGTTTGTCTCCTCAGTAGTTGTTTCCTCTTTTAAAACTAATGACTTATTGATGAGCGATGCCTCTTCGGTAGCTGGTGTTTTGAAGTTGGTGGATATGTCTACAATGAGTGTTTTCTCCATTATATTTGGCACTGGGGTGGTAGAAGCTGTTACTGGTGAGATTTCCAACTTACACCTGCAAAGCAAACAATGTTTGAGTAAGAAGAATATAGTTCTTGCAGTCCTCACCTACCATCTCATTTTGTTGCTACATGAATTAAGGCCTGGAAGAGAGACAATCCCGACAATCTCTCAATCCCGAGAGACAAAGTAGAGGGTAAAAAATAATAGGAACCATATTAAATCAAGTAAGCAGCATACTATATAGTTTCTATGCCTAGGTCCCTACACTTTTTTACAATTTCCCCCTGAAATCCATTTTATGCTCTCTCTCATATGATTTATTACTTTTATTTTATACAACGACTTTTGTTATAATACTTATCACATTGTATGAGTTATCTGCTTACGTATCAGTCTTCCTCACCAGCTGCAATTATTTGTCTTTGTCTATTAGCACCGAACATCTGGTAAAACACAGGCTCAAATTAATATTGTTTGGAGGCTAATGAGAGAGGCAGGGTTGTAATTAATTTTGGTGGGATCTAATCACATTCCCTTCACCTTGGGTTATTCAAAAGACACTTTCCCAATGAAAGTAATAAAAAGAGACCAAAATAGAAATTTGTCACATGTGTCAGTGCAAAGCTTTGTTCTGAATAGCATTTTATGACCAATTAGAGTGCCTAACCTAGTGTGACCAAATCACTGGAAGACTAGAAATCAAATAAAAAAGAGTGATAATTAAAGGTAAATAAAATCTCTGAACAGGGGGAATACATGCCTCTAAAGATTAGATATAATTTAACTCCACTTATATGAAATATTCAGAATAAATACATCCATAAAGATATATCAATAACAGAAAGTAGATTAATGGTTACTGAGGCTGGGATCAGGAGGAGTTGGAGAGGGGGACTGGAAAAGGAAAGGGACTCCTAGTAGGGTTGGGGTATTTTTGATGGTAATAAAATACAAAATCAGATAGTGGTAATAGCTATAGAATTCCAGAAATGTAATTTAAAAACACTGTATTGTAAAAATTAACTGAGCAATTTAAATAAAATTGCCTCAAAAGTTTTGCCAGACAAGACAAG